TCTTGCATGTCGACATATTTGATAGAAAAATAACTTGCACACAAGGGGCAGAAATATGCCACCATACAAAAGACAGTTTAATGTAAAAGTTACATGTACATAGTCTTTGAATTGATTGTTCTTAATTTTTTTTTTCTACAAATGTTATTAATGCATTGACTTTAAATGTGGTTGTGATTAGGGGATAATGAAAAGAACTGGAAACAAATTGCTACAAATACTTATCATTAATCAGTGGATTTTGTTGAGGCAAAACATAAATATATTATCTTTAATACTGGATTTTATTGAGTACTCTATTTAAATTCTGACATTAGGTTGTAACCTGGTTACTTCCCTTGAATTTTGTTTTTATAATACATATAATTACTGTTGGTGGATTTCTTAATGAGATGGATACAATATATGTTATTTGAACCTTGTACCATTACAAAAAAAATGTATGAACATGTTTTTATTATGTATTTTTTGAAGCAATTTTGTTGGAAAACTTTAAAGATCTTAAATAACAGAATGTAGTAACTATTATTTAAGAGAAGTGTTTGCTGCAACTCTTGCTAGTTCCTATGGAAAAGGTTTTATTTCCTTGCATGAGGACATGCCTAGTTTATTTGATGTGTTCATGATCCTTCAGCTCTCCTGACTCATTATATTGCTGAGCCCTTGTCAACCTTTTCCTCTTGGTTTTGGGCTTCATAGCTTCATCTGTTAGTTTATTTTATACTTCTTTGGATCCATTACATGAACTCAAATGATTTTCAAAGCCCTTGGACCTATTGTTTTTATGTAATTGTATTTACTTGATGTTGATCAAGATATTTTTGTCTTTCCAACTTTGGATAGAAAAGATTTGCAGTCAATTTGTCCATTTACCTTCAGATTACTTTGATAGAGTTGTTGCACAAATATCAATTGAAATATAAATTGGTCCTCAAAATGTCTGATTATTTTCATACATAACTTTATTTGTCATACTAGTACATGTACAATGTACATCCAATACAGATTTGCTTCATCAGTCACTGCATGGAAGATTTTGCAAGGGACCTAATCAATGATGCTTCTCTACATATGTCTTCAAAATAAAAACAAAAAAAAACCTTTAGTTCTGGTATAAATTTTATTTTTGTGAGAAAAAATTCTTTCTTAAGTAGTTTCGTTAAGTTTTATCTGTTGCATTCTTTCTCTCTTGATTCTTTTCGCCACACAGCTTTTCCAGCATCCTGTATCAGATGAAAAATTAGGAAAAAAATCATTAATGAAATATTTTAACAAGAATTGAATTTAATCATTTTTATTTACTATGTTAAATTAAACTGAAATTTATTTGACATTAGGGTGGAAGGGGGTGACATTTTCTTTACATTTCGGTTGATTAGAAGTCTTTGAAATATTTGTGAAGACAAATAAAGATATTGATGTAAATTTAATGATTTATATTGTCACTAAAAATAAAATATTTTTCCTCCTCTCAGGCTCTCACTATACAAATTGAGAAAGTTATGAAATAATGTAGTTTTGCTATACCTTAAAATAATCTATGCCAAAGAAGAATAGCTTTCTTGGCCCAAATATGCAGTCATCATCATCATCATCAGCAATGTCATCTTCATCATCACCATACTTATCATCCTTATTCAAAAGCTGAAAGTAATAGTTAACAAAAATATTTTAACAACTTTCAAAAATTATAGAAAGAACATTAAAAGTGTAAATGAATAAGAATTTTTACAAATCTCTTTTGCCATCCTAATAGTAATTCATAATTCATCTGCAAATACACGTGAATGCTGTGTTTTAAATACCTCAAGTGTTATCTTTAGATCCTTGTTGACTTCTACGACTTCGGTATCTCCAATTGGTGTTGCTATTTTTTCATCCATCAAGAGCTTTTCCGATGTATGGCTATCTTTCTTCAAATTCGTTGGAATCTCTAGAAAAAGGGATTCCTTCTCATCTCCAAATGTTGGAGTCTCTGGAACAAGGGATTCTTTCTCATCTCCAAATGTTGGAGTCTCTAGAACAGGGGATTCCTTCTCATCTCCAAATGTTGGAGTCTCTAGAACAGGGGATTCCTTCTCATCTCCAAATGTTGGAGTCTCTAGAACAGGGGATTCCTTCTCATCTCCAAATGTTGGAGTCTCTAGAACAAGGGATTCTTTCTCATCTCCAAATGTTGGAGTCTCTAGAACAAGGGGTTCTTTCTCATCTCCAAATGTTGGAGACACTAGAACAGGGGATTCCTTCTCATCTCCAAATGTTGGAGTCTCTAGAACAGAGGATTCCTTCTCATCTCCAAATGTTGGAGTCTCTAGAACAAGGGATTCTTTCTCATCTCCAAATGTTGGAGTCTCTAGAACAAGGGGTTCTTTCTCATCTCCAAATGTTGGAGTCTCTAGAACAGGGGATTCCTTATCATCTCCAAATGTTGGAGTCTCTAGAACAAGGGATTCTTTCTCATATCCAAATGTTGGAGTCTCTAGAACAGGGGATTCTTTCTCATCTCCAAATGTTGGAGTCTCTAGAACAGGGGATTCCTTCTCATCTCCAAATGTTGGAGTCTCTAGAACAAGGGATTCTTTCTCATCTCCAAATGTTGGAGTCTCTAGAACAGGGGATTCTTTCTCATCACCAAATGTTGGAGTCTCTGGAACAAGGGAATCCTTCTCATCTCCAAATGCTTCTTGATCTAATGCCTTTTTCATACCCACTGCATCTGTTTGTTTTGTGGAATCAGCAGCCTAAAATAATGGAAGAAATGGTTTGTTTACCATTTTGTTCCTATTATACTCAATAATAATCTTATTATTGTAACTTTGGTTTTTATTCCATTTAAATAGCTTATAGGAAAGTTTAAACAAGTAAATCACAGTTGTCCAATAAAGAAATAATCATTTTACCTGTACTTTCTTTATGTTTTCTCTTTCAATCAAGGCCTTTGCAAGTTCCCTTTCTTTGCGTTTTTTGATAAATGCTGTTAGCTTTCTGTAAATAAATAAATTATTTTAAATAGTTTGCAAGGTTAAAATTTAGTTATATGTCAGAAATCCATATCGATATTTTCCTAGGTTTTAGTACCAGGATTGATGTACTGTGAGCAATGAGCCTACTATATGATACCCCCTGCCTCCCATATGTATAAAAAGGCAGCGTCCATGTTTTGCTATGGGAAACCCAAAATATGTGTCCGATCAAAAACTAAAATAGGAGGTTGACATTAGAAATATATCATAAAGATTCATTAAATTTCACTCAGTAGTATATGAGGAGTTTCAGATAAGAGATAGGTACCCCAAAACATAACAGAAGGATGGACAGAAAGACATTTAGATGGACTGCTGTACAGACGGACAGACATCCAGATTACAGTTTACCCTCCCACTTTTCAAGCGGGGGGGGGGGTATAAATATATTGCAAAGTACTAATTGAAAGAAAGGGAGAAAAACCCTTAATTATACATATATATATATATATATTTACTTAACAATGTCAAAATTGAAAAAACAAGAGGCCCACGGGCCTTATAGGTCACCTAAGGAACATGTAACAACTCTCAAACAACTGAATTTTGGTTTGACTGTTTTAAAAAGCCTCGTAATTCACTATTTTGAAAAAAGCACCATTGTTTATCATAACTATATACTTAGCATGCTTATTTTGGTTACTTAATACCCAAAGGCAAATCAGAGTAACAGAGAGAAAATGCATTTCCACTTAATAACCACCAGTTGTGCACACAAACCCAGAAGAACCACTGACCCTGGGGCCACATATTTCAACATTTTGGAAATTTTATAAATTTCATTTTATCCGAAATGGGTGATTAATATCAAAGAGCAGATTTCAAAGTATTACTTTATTTTCAGTCTATGTAACCCCCTACCCCTGTCTGCAGTACCCCTAACGCAGGGGCTTTGAAATTAATCATTTGGAAACATCAGACACCTTTATTCATTATAAATATATAGTTAAATCATTGGCATTATACCAGGGAGCAAAGGAAAAGATTTCCAAGGAATTCATGCGTTTTCACAATATAATCATTATAGAGCCACACCCTAACACCAAAATCCCTGATCCAGGGGGTCATGAAATTCACAAATTGGGAAGAAGCATCCTTCCTCATCATAACTATATACATAGTTCATTCGTTTTATACCCAGGAGCAAAGGAGAAGATTTTTAAAGAATTTATGCATTTTGACTATATAATCAACAAAGCCCCGCCCTAACACCAGAACCCCTGACCCAGGGGTCTTGAAATTCACAAATTGGGAAGAAGCATCCTTCCTAACATAATTATATACATAGTTCATTGGTTTTATACCCAGGAGCATAGGAGAAGATTTTTAAAGAATTTATGCATTTTCACTATATAATCAACAGAGCCCCACCCTAACACCAGAACTCCTGACCCTGGGCTCATGAAATTCACAATTTTGGAAGAGGCAATCTTATTCAACATAACTATGTACTTGGTTAGGTTATTGCCCAGGAGCAAAAAAAAATATTTTCAAAGAAATAATGCATTCTCACTATACAGTCTATTTAGCCCCGCCCTAGCACTAGAACCGCTGTCCCTGGAGCCATGAATTTCACAATTTTGGTAGAGGACTCAATGCTGATCACAATCATGCCAACAGACTGACTGCTTGATGTCCAGATTCATAGAAGATTTTTAAAGATTGCACTAATTTTAGTGGTTTTAGCCCTACCCCCAGGCCCCAAGGGGGGCAGGGACCATGAAATTCAAAATTTGTGTTCCCCTTTACCCATAGATGCTTTGTGCCAAAATTGGTTGAAATTGGTTGAGCGGTTTCAGAGAAGAACCTGAAAATGTTCAAATGTTAACGCACGATGACGGACAACAATGGATAGCAATAGGTCACCTGAGTTTACCTAGGTGACCTAAACACTGAAAAATGTGACTAACCCCCTAGGAGACTTTTTTGCAATGGCCTGGTCTTTTATCAGGGTTCCACCATTTCTAGAAGTCTTTGTTTTGTTTTCCTCGTTGATACAGGCCTTGGCTTCTTCTTCTTCTTTACGCTTTCTTATGAAAGCTTTTAGCCTCCTGTAATTGATTAAATTAAGTTAAGTAAGTTTCCAAGCTTATATATCATGTATATATTTAATTGCCATAAACTAAAGTAGTTTAAACAAGAGGCCCATGGGCCACATCGCTCACCTGATCACAAAGGGCAGGAGAAAGTAGACAATGGCTTTTTATTGTAAAGTTTAAATCCAAAAGTAGTCCCATGGCCAATCATGGATTTGGTATTTTTTAGAAAATGATTTTTAAAGATTTTTCCTATATATTCCTATGTAAATGTTTGGTCGGCCATTTTGACCCCGCCCTACCCCGGGGGTCATGATTTGAACAAATTTGAATCTACACTACTTGAGCATGCTTCCACATAAATATGATGAATTATGGCTTTGTCATTCTTGAGAAGAAGATTTTTAAAGAATTTTCCTATATATTTCTATATAAAAATTTGGTCGGCCATTTTGGCCCCGCCTT